CGTGGCCTTGGTACACATGTCCGATGCTGACATGGCATTGACGTGGCATTGACGTGGCATTGACGTGGCCTTGGTACACATGTCCGATGCTGACGCGGCATTGACGTGGCATTGTAACGCTGACGTGGCCGGTGGATGATAGCAGATTGATGATGTGGCATTGCTGACTCACCATTCGGTGAGATATGAGGCTGACGTGGCAGTGTCATATTTCGATACCTGGCTTACGTGGCGCGTTGGTACCGCTCCTGACGTGTACTCCCTCGATGATGCTGACTGGATTACGGTGCTGACGTGGCAGACAGAAGTACTGCTGTGTTGGCACTCCAGGGGATACACGTGGCAGGTTGGAACTTCGACTTTGTGGCAGGCTGGTACTTCGACTTCAGCATGCATTGCTGACGTGCACCCCATTGACAAGATTGATTAGACCTGCTGACCTGGCATACTCATCGAGTTGCTGAGTTGGCAGGCCAGGGGTGACACGTGGCAGGCACGACCGTGCCTAAGTGAGGACAGCATTCTGATGACTGAAGCGGCACGGCAAGAAAACTGACGTGGCTGTGGTGCCGAACGTCAGATTGTGTGCTGGTCACACAGGACAAAGAAGGACGAAACAGCAAGAAGGGGAAAACGCTAACTATTGATTGATTTTTGTTGGCGGACTTACCTGTTGTCTGGCTGTGTTGTGGGCCTGTGTACTCACTTGTGTTTGTTGATGATCATGCTGGCCTGGAGTCGCGGTACCTGAGATAGAGTAGGATGTCATCACATTGAAGACAGAACAGCAAATAGAATTAGAAAACTCTTGTTCTTATTATTATTATTCTTTTTGACTTAGACAGAGTGTTGGGACAGGTGACCGTGAAATTATTCTCTTGCGGTAGAACAACGTGCTGGTTTAAGTAAGGAAGAACAGTGTGCTGATTCAGGAAACCGTGAATTATTGTTTATTTTGCGGTAAAATAATATGGCGAACGAATTTTCGTGTTTCTGTTCTCTCAAGATGTCTTACTTCTGGAAATGTCTGCAACAGACTATCTTGACGAGATTTGTGACCACTTTCTTGTTCCCTATCCCAATTGCACTTTCCGTTGGGGAAGGACCGTCTGAACTTAGGACAAGGGGACAGGCTAACAGAAAGAAAGATGAACTGTTAGCCTTGTGGAATCAGTGCAGTTGTCGGGACCGGACGCCGAGCAACACATCCGTGATAATTTCGATCTTCAGGGGGTTGAAGACCGCCTGAAGAAGTCTATCACGGCTGTGGAGGTTGTGGCAGCCGGTACAGACGCCTCCAAATTGATTGCACAGGGGCGACAAACTCTAGACCAGTTTGCTTTGAAGCAACTGGAAGAGAGTATGGAAGCTACTCGTAAAGGGGAGGCGAAACCAGAAGTAAGTGAGGAAACAATTGATGCTAACATCCAACAGCTCAGAGATACTCTGGCTTCTGAAGAAAGGAAGAAAGAGGAATTAGCCCGAAAAAGAGAACAGGAACATCGAAGAGGTCAAAAGGTTAGAGAGATTAGACAAGTGATAGGAACAGAAGTAGGTGAACAGACTGACATATCACGAACGTTGGCTCACATTGTGACATATCTTACCTTTCTTGAGGAGAAGATTGATAGACAGCAAAATCAGTTGGATGAAATCACTGTTGGATTAAGAAAAATTGCTAATATTGTGAAAGGTAAGAATCAGATTCAGGGAGAAGAAGAACAAGAAGAGAAGAAGGAGAAGAAAGAAGTAAAAAAGTTGATGAGGGACGCAATGAAGTCTGTTGGTCCCGTGATAAAGACAACGACTAATGGAAATGGATCCAACGAAAATGGATCAAGTCAACCATCTACTCCTCACTCTTCTCATTCTTCTAAGTCTACTCCTAAAGGACTCCAGAAAAGACAAGCGCGGAACCCGAAAAACCGAAGAAGAAAGAAAAGGTGAAGATGAAGTTGCCGTTTACGTTTTGCAACAAGAAAGAAGAAAGTATGTTGTTGTGGATTGCAGAAATCCAGACGTATGTGAGTACCACACCGGTCGAACCGGAGTCTCAAGTCGCGTTCACCACTTCTTGCATGGGTGGTGAGGCCAAGCAATGGGTGTTGGCCGAGGCAAATGCGGCGGGTTTCGAAGACATCGGTGAGTGGGCGAAGACATTGACGCTGAAGCAGTTCTTGGCCAAAACCAAGGACCGTTTCCTCGACAAGACGACGGCCGACAAGGCCTTTGACCAGTTGACGTCAATTGGTCAAAAGCATTGGACGTCAGTTGAGGATTTGTCCCGAGAAGTTGACCGATTATTGCAGGTTCCCGGATTGAACCTGCAGGACAACCAAGTGTTGTATATCTATTCCCGCGCGTTGCCTGAGCCCATCCGGAGACACTTAGTCACTGAAGCGAAATCCGGTAAGTACAACTACAGGCAATTTCGTAACCTTGCCCTGCAGAGGGAACAGATGACCTCTCAAGTCAAAAGTTCCTATGCAGCGGTAGTTAAATCTGGAGGAGGAGGAGGTGGACAATACAACGGGAAACGAGTTCTCTGGCGACAGAAGCGCCAAGACCACACACTTGTCGTCTTTGGCGACGACACAGTGGAAATGTGGCCAAACGAGGAGAATGATAACAACAGTGACTCCGGGAAGAGGGAAGTCACTGCTGTTGTGGCCAATAAGGGAGGGCCACCCAGGACAGGAGGGAAGAAACAAAGAGCGTTTCCATGGCACCCTGGCATTGCTGATGGGAAGCCATGGGTGGAAATGGGTATGACTAGAAAGACTTGGCAGGAGCGCATGGACAATGCGCAATGTCTCAAGTGCGGCACACCGGGACATGTGATCGCCTATTGCCCTCAGATCCGAAACCCAAAAGCGAACAGCCAGTAGGAGTAGCATCTGCTCCTACTGAGATTAAGGGTAAGAACGAACAGACAGGTAAGGCGCTTACGACCCCTTCCTACCCTTCTTCTCAAATGGCAGAGGATGATTCTTCCTTAGCCCATCATCCAGATCGCCCTGACATTGTCTTATGTTCAGTCTCTCTAGATGACTCCCTTGATGAGCTAGGTAACGAATTGGTAGCATTACGTGGCTCATGGGCTCGAAAGGCGATGACTAAGGGCGAGTTGTTGTTTGCAGATGTTGAGATCGCACGAACGCGAGTTGGTGCAATGTTGGACCCAGGATCAACAAGGTCCTACATCTCCGAGAAGGCAATCCGTAAGTTGCATCTCGGCATGAAGGTAAAAGACTTGTCTCGACCTATAACGTCTATGTTAGCAGACAAGAGTACGATCACTGTGTCTCAGTGTGTTGATCGTATTAAGTGTCAGTTTCGAACGAGGGAAGGAAAGAAGATTGTGAATGAATTATCCTTCCTCATAGAAAAAATCTACCTTTTGATATCATTCTGGGTATGGACTGGTACGAAGAAGCCAACACGGACATTGATTTCAAAAACAAGATTGTGCAACTCAAAGATGCGTAATCAGAAATGAAACCAATTAAGTTATATCATAAGTCTGACTCTTACTCAAGTCTATCCTTTTGCTGTATGAGTTATCCAGCTTTCCGTTCGATGGTTTCTAAGAAAAAGTTGGAACAGAAGTTATGTTGGTACTGGTAAAGAAAGTCGGTGAGTCTTCCTCTTCCTGTCCTCCGACGATCGATTGCCTTCTATCTGAATATAAGGATCTGCAGAATGAACCCACCGGAATTACTGAACGTACTATAAAGCATACTATTGAGATTATTCCGGGTAGTAAAATTCCCAAGGGCCCTATCTACCGAATGTCTTCTAGGGAACTTCAGGAGTTAAAGAAGCAACTGCAGGACCTTACTCACAAGGGATGGATTCGCCCTAGTTCATCTCCTTACTGAGCACCTATCTTATTTGTGCCCAAAAAGGAAGGTGAATTACGTCTATGTATTGACTATCGAGGGTTGAATGTCGTCACTATCAAGAATGCCGAACCACTCCCTCGCATCGACAATCTACTTGACCAACTACAGAGATGCAAGTACTTCAGTAAAATTGATCTGAAGTCTGGGTACCATCAGATCGAGGTGGAGCCCGCGGATCAACACAAGACTGCTTTCCGAACCAGGTATGGCCCTTATGAGTTTATGGTAATGCCCTTTGGATTGACTAATGCTCCTGCTACATTCCAACGGTCAATGAATGAGTTATTTCATCAATGGTTGGACCAGTTCGTCATCGTCTATCTAGATGACATTCTCGTATATAGTAAAACATTAGAAGAACACGAGAAGCATCTTCGTCTGGTTTTGAGTAAGTTGCGAGAAGGCAACTTCAAAATCAACCCGAAGAAGTCTGAGTTCGCTAAGTCTGAAGTTTTATACTTAGGACATATAGTGAACCAAGATGGTCTCAGGCCTGAAGAAAAGAAAATATCGGCAATTAGAGACTGGCCGCAACCTAAGTCTGTAACTGAGTTACAATCTTTTCTTGGTTTGGCAAGCTATTATAGGAAGTTTGTCAGGAAGTTCTCATTGCTCACTGCACCAATGAGAAGATTGGTAAAGAAAGGAACAATATGGTTGTGGGACAAGGATTGTGAGTACTCATTCAAAAAGGTAAAGTACGCTCTGACTCACTACCCTGTTCTGAAAATTGTTGATCCATCTCTTCCCTTTGTGGTCACCACTGATGCAAGTCAGTATGGGATTGGCGCAGTTCTTCAACAAAACGATGACAATGGCTACAGACCGATTGAGTTTATGTCTGCACGATTGCCATCTGAAAAGGTTGCCAATTCTACCTATGAAAGGGAATTGTATGCGTTAGTCTGTGCCTTAGACACATGGAAACACTATCTATTAGGGAGACACTTCACTGTGTACTCAGACCACTCTACCCTGAAGTGGATAAAGACATAGCCTAGGCTCTCTGATAAGCTAGTACGATGGTCTGCATTCATTGATACTTTTGATTTTGAGTTGAACACTATCAAAGGTAAGTCTAACGTGGTTGCAGATGTATTGTCTAGAAGATGTGATTTCTTTGGTGCCATTGTCTCTTACCTAGACGTTGGGAATGATCTGAAAGATAGAATTCGCCAAGGATATGTTAATGACCCAATATGGAAACCTATCATGGATGTCCTTGCGAAAGACCCGAGTCTGCTTCCCAACTATAAGATAACTAATGGTTTGCTTTTCTTGCTAGACCAAACTGAACAACGATTGTGTATTCCTCACCAGGAAGAAATCAAAAGTCTGATTATTGGGGAATGTCACGACGCCGAAGGTCATTTTGGTTTCAAGAAAACCTACGCTGAAGTTAGAGAACGCTTTGAATGGAAGGGATTGAAAGAGGACGTACTAACTTATGTTCGTACTTGTCTTGTGTGTCAGAGAAACAAACCCTCACATGAGAATCCACTTGGTCTTCTCAGACCGTTACCAATTCCAAGCGAGCGAGGTGAGTCAATTTCTATGGATTTTATGAGCCTCACCAAAAGTCGGAATGGCAATAGCCAGGTAATGGTAATTGTGGATCGTTTCTCTAAATATGCTATGTTCATTCCCTTACCCGAAAAAGCCAGAACGAAACTTGTGATCCAAAAGTTTCAGATGCGATGGGTGACTGAATATGGTTTCCCTTTATCCATTGTATCTGATAAAGATACCCGGTTCACAAGTATGCCATGGCAAAAGCTGATGGAGGCATACGGTACACGTCTGACCATGTCGTCAGGTAGACACCCTGAAACGAATGGGCAAAGTGAACAAATGAACCGTTTGTGCCAACAGCTTCTGCGCATGTATGTAAGACCCGATCAAATAGATTGGGATGAGAACTTACCTAAGATAGCAAGTGCATATAATAGTAGTGTTCATACCTCTACAGGACGAACACCTAACGCACTGCATAAAGGGTGGAAACCTAAGCGTCCCATAGATGTATTGACGAGGGACCAGTTTCTTAGGTTACCTCCAGGGACCCGCGAATACGCAGTATTGTTTCAAGAAGACATTAAAAAGGTAAAGGAGAACTTAAAGAAAGCTCAAGACCGAATGATCGAACAAGCTAATAAGCATCGATGACTATCAACGTTCAAAAAAGGTGATTTGGTCTGGGTCATGTCTAAAGAGTTTTCACTAGAAGAAAATGTCTCTCAGAAACTTGTGCCTGTCTATTTTGGACCCTGGGAAGCTCTTAAAGTGATTGGAGATGCAGAGGGACCGTCTTACAGAATTGATATACCCCCTCATCTCAGGACCTATTCTGTCTTTCATGCGTCTAAGTTGCTACCTTATGTAGAAGGAGATGAATTCCCTCATAGACCATCTATGATACCGCCAGATATGGATGGTGGATATGAAGTGGACCGAATTATAGAACAGGGGTTCTTCTCTACAGGTACACAAGGACGACCCCATAAGCAATTCAAGGTTCGTTTTAAGAGTCAGAAACCATCTGAGGACAGATGGTTTAGTAAAAGAGAACTCCTTCAATCTGCTCCTGATATTGTCTCTGCTTACGAACGTGGGTTGAAGTCTTAAATGTTTCTGCGATGGAACTCGAAATTTGGGTCGGCAGGAATGCAGTAACCCTGTTCAGCAGCAGACCGGGGCTCAGAACGTTGCCCCCGGTAAAGCACAGACTCAGTTGTCTGTGCTGGGCTATGTGACCGAGACATGCCCAGCCTGAGTCTGTCGAGGAGGCTGTGTGATCGAACGCAGCACAAAGGAAATTCAACAGTCAAAGTCAACTGTAGAGTCAAAGGTACCGCGCCCAGGCCTATGGTTGGATACATTCACTTGTTGTGTGCAGGTACCCAGACAACATTCAGGGCGGAAAGAATACAGTTTCTGGCCAATCTGGGCCCTCCTTCACATCGAGATCTGGACGGTGCAGGACTTCAGCACCCGGGGTCCAGACCCCGCATCCACGCTATTTAAGAGTTGACTTCCTGGCTGGAGGGCATTCAGTCTTGCGTGAATGCTGACTTCACGCGTGGACTTTGACGCTGTTGCTATGCTGCGACATTGCGACATTGGCTTGACGCCGACTTTATGCTGGCAGAGGAGGACGGCAAGGCGCTGCTGGCTGGCATGGTGTTGGTTGGCGATGGTCTTCTGGGCATGCTGACGTGGCAGCTGCCAAGCGCCGATGCTGACGTGGCCGCTGCCACCTGTATATGTTGATGATGTGGCGGGCTACATGATTGATGAGGCTGTTCTGATTCTTCGTCACTTCGGAAGGGGATCAAGACTGTGGTTATCGAATATACGTACCTGGTTGATGACGATACTCTCCATTTGCTGATGTAGACAGATTGACGTGCCACGTGGCACCTTGAGGAAGAACTTCAAACATTGTATTCAGTCTATTGATTGATGAGGTGGCGAGGAGGAGGAGGAACCCGAAGTAGAAGTGGGTTGTTGTCTTCTTCTCTCTCCTTTGTCTATTCCCCCTCTCTCCTCCTTCGTCTGTGTATGATTCTCACCTCATTCTATCATCACACACAATTGTGATTGTTTGTCATTCATCAGCAGATC